AGCATTACTGACAAAATCAACAGAAAGCAAACTGTATATATTCCAAGTATTCGATTTGCTAAGGTTTTACATACGTATACACCTGAGAAACTGTGACCACAGTCAGGATAATGGACAACCACATATCTTTCCATAGAGATTAGTTCACAGTTCCTAAAATTTTATATGCATGGAATCAGGCAGTGTGTACTCTTGTGTCTGGCTTCTTTCACTCAGCACCATTATATTTCAATTCATCCATGTGTTGTGTCAAAAGTCCGTTGCATTGCATGGCTATACCACCGTCTGTTTGCCCACTCACCTGTTGTTGGACACTTGGGTTTTGGACTGCTAAAAATTAAACCACTATCAACATTCGTAGACAAGTCTTTCTTGTTACTTTTGGGTAAATATCAAGGCACAGAATGGCTATATCATACAGTAGGTGTATATCTAACTTCTAAAGAAGTGTTTGTGACATTCTCTGCTCCCACCAGCAATGTACAAGAATTCTCATTCCTCAACACCCTTATCTGCAGTAGGTATGGTCAGTCCTTTCCATTTTTGCCATTCTAATACTTAATACTGACTCATTGTGGTTTAAATGTGCATTTCCTTAATGTTAACTGATGTTGAGCATTTCTTCGTGTGCTCACTGGCCACTTTTATCTTTTGTATGAAGAATCTGTTCAGATCTTTTCTTTACTGGGTTGTTGGTTTCCTTATTATTAAATTTGGAGAAGTCTTTACAGATTCTGAATGCAAGTTCCTTACCAGATAGACGATCTGCAAGTATTTTCCCTCAGCCTGTGACTCGTCTTTTCATTCTCTTACCAGTATCTTTCAAAGATAAATTTTGATGAAGTCCAATTTATCAATTTTTTCTTTGACAGTCACGATTCAGTGTCGTAGCTAAGAAATCTTTGCCTAACTCAAGGTCACAAAGATTTTTTTTTACTATCTTTTTTTTAAGTGTTATAGTTTTAGATTTTACATTTAAATCATCAGTGCATCTTGAGTGACCTTCGCATGGAGTGCAAGGTATGGATTAAAGTTCTTTTTTGTTTGTTTGTTTGCATAGGGACATCCAGTTGACCCAGCACTATCCACTGAAAAGACTGTCCCTTTCCCAGTGGGCAGCCCAGCGTGCTTGTGGGAAATCAACCATCCGTGGGTCTTTTCGGGGACTCTATTCTGTTCCATCCATTTGTCTGTCGTGATGCTAATACCACACTGCCCTAATCCCTGCACTTGATCACTTTACAGTAAGTCCTGAAATTAGGCAGTGCTGGCCTTCACTTTCGTTCTTCTTTATCATAGACGATTTGACTATTCTAGATCCTTTGCATTTCCAAGTGAATTTTAGAATCAGCTTGTCAGTTTATGAGGGGGGCAGGCCTTCTACAAAGAGGATTTGGATCACAATTTCACTAAATCTATGGATCAATTTGGGGAGAACTGACATCTTAGCAATTTAGATTTTCTGCCCCATGAGCCCAGTGTACCTCTCCATTTATTTAGGTTTTCTCTAATTTCCCTCAGCAATATTTTGTAGTTTTCAGGGCATAGATGTTATACCTCTTTTGTCAAATTTGTTCCTAAGTATTTCATATTTTTATGTTATTGTAAATGGTATTTTTAAAATTTCAATTTGCAATTGTTCTTTGCTAGTATACAGAAATATAGTGTATCTTTGTATATTGATCTTGATTCTTGCATTTGCTAAACTCATTCTGTAGATTCCATTATATTTTTACAGAGACAACTATGTCATCTGTGAATGAAGACAGCTTTACTTCTTTCCAAACTGAAAAGGAAGTTTGTTTTCTTGCCTTATTGCACTGACTAGAATCTCTAATACAATGTTGAGTAGAACTGATCAGAGCAGTGATCCTGATCTTGTTCCTGATCTTAGGGGAAAACAATATATCTTTCACTGGCAAACATGATATTAACTATAGGTTTCCCATAGAAGGCCTTTATTAGATTGAGAACATTTCCTTACATTCCCTGTTTGCTGAGAGTTTAAGAATAGATACTGAATTTTGTAAAATAATTTTGCTATGACTATTGAGATGATCATATGTGTTTTTCAAAATTTGTTAACATAGTTAATTATGGTGATTGATTTTCTTTTTTCTTTCTTCTTCTTCTTCTTCTTTTTTTTTTTTTTTTTTTTGGTAGGCAGCAAAGCAAGGTTTATTGAGTGAGAGTAAAAAGCTCCCAAAGAGGGAGGGGACCCGAGAGGATTGCCCTATAGTGACTGATTTTCTAACATTGAACCAATCTTGTATTTCTAGGACAAACCACACTTGGTAATTATGTATTATCCTTTTATATGTTGTTGGATTCCATTTACTAAAATTTTGTTTAGAGTTTCTACTCTATGGCCATGAGGTATCTGTAGTTTTCTCTTTTAGTAATGTTTTCGTCAGGTTTTGATATCAGAGAATGAGTTTCAAACTATTCCCTCTTCATCGGTTTTCTGGAAGAATCCATGTAGAACTGGTAGTATTTCTTTCTTAAACATATGTTTTCATTGACTTTTCTCTATTGCTTTTCTGTTTCCTATTTCATTGGTTTCCACTCTGATCTTTATTTTTTTCTTCTGATTACTTTGGGTTTTGTTACTTTTTCTTCTCCAGTTTGAGATATAATTGACATGTAATTTAGCATTAGTTTAAGGGTGTGCATTTACTCTTCTTTCTCCAGTTCCTTAAGGTGGAAGCTGAGGTCACTAATTTGAGATGTTTTTTTCTTTTAAAGGTTGTTTATTTAATTGTTGGAGAGACAGAGTGAGAAAGAGAGAGCACAAGGGGGGGAGGGGCAGAGGGAGAAGCAGACTCCCCGCTGAGCAGGGAGCCCGACGTGGGGCTCGATCCCAGGACCCTGGGACCATGGCCTGAGCCAAAGGCAGACGCTTAAGGACTGAGCCACCCAGGCGCCCCTGAGATTTTTTTCTCTAATATAGGAGTTTAGTGCTACAAATTCTCCCCCAAAAATAGTGCTTTGGCAGCATCCAAATGTTTTTATATGTTGTCTTTTCATTTTCATTCAGTTCAAAGTAATTTCTATTTTCCCTTTTCATATCTTCTTTGGCCCAAAGGCTATTTGGAAGTGTATTGTTTAGTTTCCAAATACTGGGAGGTTCTCCAGACATATTTTATTTTATTTTTTAAAGATTTATTTATTTCAGAGAAAAAGAGAGAGAGAACGAGGGAGCGGGAAAGAGGGTCTCGAGCCGACTCCGCGCCGAGTGCAGAGTCTGACGCGCGGGGGTCCAGCCCATGACTTTTTTTTTTTTTTTTGGTAGTGTGGCTCTTCTGATGAGGAATTCTCTCAGCTTTCGTGTGCTAAAGAAGTCTTTATTTGCCCTTCATTTTAAGACCCCTCCCTGTGGCAGAGCACCCGGTTGGCAGGCTTGTCTTCAGCACTGTGGGGGCTCTTCCGCCTTCTCCCACAAGAAACTTACTGTTCTCATGTCCTTTGTTCCTTCTCCATAACGTGCCTTCTCCCTCTGGTGGCTTCTACAATTTTCTCTTTGCCACTGGCTTCCAGCAAATTGATCGTGGTGTGCCTCGTAATTTTTTCCATCTTTCTTATACTTAGCGCTCACCAACTTGGATCTGCGAGTTTAGTTTTCATCAGGTTGTGTCCTGAAACCATTCTCTACGTATTCCGTCTGGCTTTCCAGGCTGTGTCAGGCAGGAAGGTAAAGCTGACCTCCATGACTCTGTCTAGGCCACGGTGGGATCCACAGAACTGGATTTCTTTCCCATGAACATCTTCGGATCTTGTAACTCCTGCTGTCGCCTTGAGTCTCTTTCTGAAGCCAGTCCGTCTGAGCTCTGTCGAGTGACAGGCTCCATGGCGAGTACCAACAGCATGTTCATCCGGGCCCCAGGGGAAGCACCACTGCCTCCTGCAAAGACCTGGTTTTGGGGCAACCTGCCTTGTCCATAGCCCACCTGCTTGCATGTCGCTGGAGAAGGTCCTGGAGCAGAAACAGCCTGCGGCCCCGGGCCCCCGGAGGGGCAGCTGCTCTGCCCCTTCAAGTCCTGCCACAGTTCAGGGCTGGGGCCTCTGAGGAGCGTCCATTTCTCAGTCTCCCCGCAGAGGTGTCTTGGATGCGCCATCTTGCTCTGTTTCCCCTTCACCTGTGAGTTAGCAGTTCGGCCTGGTCTGATGGCGGGACCCTCTCCTCCGTAGTGCCGGCGCTTCCCCTGGAGTTCTAGCCTCAGCAAGATCTCCCTGACAGACCCCCTAGGGTGTGCCTTGGGGGCCCCTGGGCGTTCTGGGCCCCCGAAGCACCCACTGAGCACACACACCTTCCCCTTCCTGGACACGCGGTCCCACCTCGGGGTTACCTCCTCCACCACCCATAGCACCAGGCCTGAACACCATCTCTCGTGCCTGCAGATGAGCCACAACCTTGGGTGTAGGGGGGCACCTGGGCTGCTGACTCTGTGGGGCACAGACCTCCCCAGGGCTCCACAGCTCATGGGGCTAACCCCACTGTCCTCCAAGTCCTCAGCTGCAAGCCTGGCCAAGCGAAGGCCACAACTGCGCTTAGCCCCTGTGCCTGGAAGTGAGACCCCAGCTCCACCAAGGCCTAGGGCCAGTCTCACCTGCTCCAGTCTACCTGCTGGCCTGTGAACAGAGCCCTGGGCTCCAGTGACCTTGGGGTCACGAGCCAGGTGCCCCCACAGCCCTTTGAAGGGCAGCGATGGGCTTGCCAGCTTGTCAGAAGTCAGGGTCCCCTGCGCCCAGGCTGGCCGGGCGGGGCAGCAGCTACCCACACTCAGGTGTAGCCTGCTCCCCAGTCTGGCCCCGCTCCTGATGCCCGAGGACAGCTGGCTCCAGGGTGGGTCCACTGTTCGCTGATTGCACTGGAGCAAGATAGTGAGGACCCCTCCCCAGACATGCCATACCAGGGCTCCCTCCACTGCCCGGCCACCCACAAAGCCTTACCCAGGCACTGGGGAGCCCTGTGGCACTCACCCACCTTCTCTCCTCCCCAGGGAACATTTTTAACAGCTTCTGCCGGCAACCCCCCACATCCATGTCCCCATCGGTCCTGGAGGCCCTGAAACTCACCACTGCCATGAAGTGTGCCCCCCATGAGGGCTGCTCCCTAGTCCTGCGTGTGCAGGCTTCCCTCATACTGCATGGTGAGAAGCAGCCTCGGGGAGGGGGGCAGGGGAGGGGCCATGCTGCTTGCGATGGTGGGAACACCCAGGAAGCGAGGTGGTGGGCTCGCGGCTCCTTTAACTCCACAACACTTCAAGGGGCAGGGTAGGGCTAGGGGACTCCGCTAACTGCACTGCCCAGAGAGGAGGGGAAGAAAGAGGACTCATTGCCCTGGTCTGACCAGCTCTGTCTGGCTCCTCCCCTCACCCAGATAGCCTGCGGGGCTTGGAGGCCTGCTCCATGAATCTCGACACCCAGGAGACTCAGTGTCAGAACGTGCGGGTCTCCAGGGCCTCTCGTCGACGGCAGGTGGGGCGGCAGGTGAGGCCAGGGCCTGACCCAGACCTGCTGGTCCTGCCCCAAGCCTTTGCCAGGCAGGAACAGCTGTCCCCTGGCTGCCCTCCCTTCCTGGATCCACCCAATCCACCCAAGGCCTGAGGACAGGAGACCCTTCTCCTGGGTTCCAGCTATGCGAGGTGCAGCTGGCCTGGCCAGGGATGGGTAGCTAGAGACCACAGGTCCACCTGGCTCACACCTGTGCATGCCCACCTGGCTCACACCTGTGCATGCCCACCTGGCTCACACCTGTTCATGTCCACCTGGCTCACACCTGTGCATGCCCACCTGGCTCACACCTGTTCATGTCCACCTGGCTCACACCTGTGCATGCCCAGCTCCAGGTGCATTTTGATTGCTTCGAAGTGAGTGTGGCTCAGAGCCTCTACGTCACCCTGAGGACCGTCCCCCACTTCTGTGGGGTCCAGCTGGACCAGCAGTACCATGTGGAAGGTGGGAGCCCATGGGGCTGGCCCCGGGTACAGTTGCCACTGGCTTCTAGGGACAACCTGGGGTGGGACACCTGAGGTAGGGGGCAGAGCCCCATGCTGGGCAGCTCGCAGCAAGTGCCTTTCGCTTCATTTGGGGGCACGGCCTCCCTGGGAGAGGAGAGACTTCTGTAAAGCACAAGGGCAGAGGCTCGACTAGGGTATAGCTGCTGGGGACAGAGTGGCTGGGCCCCCCATTGCTGTGCCATTTGCAGACTGCAGAGACGAGGACGTGGGGAGGAACGTGCCTGTCTGCTTTGGTGAGGCCCCGTCCTCAGGTGGGACTGCAGCCCCGCAGCCCCTGGGGCGACCCCCACACACCCTCCCATGGGGGTCTTCTGCCTGTCCCACTTGGGAAGTCATGATGGGTCCTCAGGTGGGCGACTCCCAAATGCCTGGGTCTAGCAAGGGGTCACCATTTGGAGGCTCTCAGGACAGGTGGAGACCTTTGTCCGATGACCGCTAGTCCCAGCGTGGCCCCCAATTGCCGCCCTTCTACAGTCGAGAAGTTCTCCTACTGGGTGGACCGCAGCCGCAAGGTCATTCTGGTCCAGGTGCCCGAGGCCCCCGGGGCCCCCGACTACTACGTCCGGCTCTGCCTCAAGTGGTTCACCTGCGAGGATGTGGGTGCCCCGGTGCGGGTGAGCCCAGGCCCAAGCCCTGGACACCGACCCCTGGCCCAGACCACACCCCCCGCCCACGTCCCACCGACCCGTGGCCCAGCCCCCGAGACCACGCCTCTGCCCCTCCCCCCCCGGCCTTCCCAGCCTGGCCCAGTCCCACCCACTGGGCCCCCAGGCCCTAAGCCCTCCACTCCACGCAGGTGACAGTGAACAGGATGTCCCGCACCGTGTCTCTGCCCTACAGCCAAGAGCTGCCCTGCCTTTGCCTTGAGGTCAGTGAGAGTGTGGCCTCCACTGCCGGGAGGAGACGGAGGGAGGGGCAGGGCCTGCGCTGACCCCAGCCCCTCCCGCAGGGCTGGTCTGCGACCCCTGACGCCGTGCGGATGCAGGCCTGTCCCTTCGAAGATGGCAAGTGCCCTATGGTGTGGAGTAGGGGTGGGGGGAGAGGAGGTCAGCCGTGCCCGGCAGGGTGGGGCCGGCCTGCTTCAGCCGCAGGGGGACACAGTGGGGAGGAAGCGTGCGGACAGGCCCCGTGCCCGCGTGAGCCTGCCGTGGACGGCATGTAGCCAAGCCCTTTGCTGTGGCAGTCTGTGCATAGACACGTGTGTGCGCAAGCGCGTGTGCGCCCAGTGCGGATGCACGCGCCCGGTGCACACGGATGCACGCGCCCTGGCCTGGCTCGCGTGGAAGAAGCAAGTGTTCCGAGAGCGGCTGTCCGAGGGGCGGAGGAGGGTTGCCCGCTCTCCGCTCTGCTCCCGGAGGCCGCACCAGCACCGGGACACACACAGACGTGGGCGGGGGCTCCGCTGACTTGAGCCCCTGGGGGAGGGTCCCTCCCTGCAGAGACAGAGGCCCTGTGGGACGCCATCCGCTACCACCCGGGGGACCAGGCACTGAGCTGGGAGCCGGCCTGTCCCGTGAGTGGTCACGTGAGCCTGTGCTGGCGCCCGGGGCCAGGGGCCCTCTGCCACAGCCTGGAGCACTCCGGCCGGCCGGCACACGGCAGGGTGAGTACCGCCCAGGCGGGGTCGGGGGTGGGCGTGGATGGCGGGGGCCTGACTTGAGCCCCGCCACAGGTGCAGTACCCGCTGGTGGACGCACAGCCCCAGCTCTGCCTGAAGGTGAGTGGGCCAAGCTGCGGCCTGCCCTGTGCACGACCAGCACGGAATGCGGGGTGCGAGGAGGAGGTAGAGGGGTCCGGGGCTCGGGCGCAGGGGGCATGCAGCCACACACACTCCCAGACCCTGCCCAGCCCTGGGGTCCAGCCTCCCAGGAACCCCTCTGACCCCCATCCTGATCTGAGGGTGGAGCTAAGGGATTCTGGGGGGAGGCCCAGCCTGTCCCAGCCCCCAGCCAGCCCCCCACACACTGCCACGGCCTCAGGCCTCAAGACTTCTCTGCAGTTCTCCACCAGCCGGGGCTTCCGGGTGAGGTGCCCTTTCCAAGAGCGAGGCTTCCAAGGTGAGCTCTCCATGGGGCGGCAGGGCAGGGAGGCCGGCCTGGGGCCTTTGCCTTCTGCCGATGCAGGAAATACCGCCCTTTTCTTTGCTCCCGTGATGCCTCTTGGTCAGGCAGGTGGGATGACAGGGTGCTGGGTCAGTGGGAGGGAGGAGGGCAAGTGGGGGGTGCTGGGCCTCAACCCTCTACCTCCACAGCCTGGAAGATGACCGTCCAGCCAGCAGCCTCTCAGGGCCACCTCCGGGTCACCTTCTTCTCGCCCAGCGCTGCCCATTTCCAGGTGCACCTGTGTCACCAGAGGAAGTCATGGGCCCCTGCCTGCCGCCCAGTTCTCGGGGCCACGGCCCTCCCCTCAGCCTCAGTGAGCCCGGTGGGGAGGGGGGCTCCTTCCTGGGGAGGGTGGCTGACCCCTTTCCTGCCCACAAGGCCTTGAGTCAGCCCCTGGAGGCCGCCCAGTGTGGAGGGGTGCAGGCCACTCTGCTGTGTGAGCCTGTCTTCCCCCGCCGCTGCCTATGACCGACACCTCTCCCACCCAGGGGGACTTCATGGCTGACCCTGCGGTCGCCTTTGTGAACATTCCCAGGGACGAGGCATGTGTACCCAACACCTGCATCCAGGTGGGTGGTGCTGCCCCACCCAGCCCTCATCCACCTACTGCAGTCCCAGACCTGCTTCCCTGTCATCAACCAACAAAGCTCCTCGGGGGGCCTGTCAGCCCAGCAGCCTCCCCAGGCCGTCGCTCTGGGGGATGCAGTCAGGGTGCGAGGGAGGCCGCAGGCTGGGCTGACCGAGCTGCCCTGCGCCCACAGGGCTGGAGGACTGATGTGCTCTTCTCCGCCCCCCAGCAGCTCTGTGACCTTCAGTGCAGTGAGTGCCCCCGCTGGGTCTTGGGCCCCAGAGCTGCAGGAGGCCGAGGGCTGGACTCAGCTCCGAGCCTGATCCCTGTCTCCCACGCTTAGGGTGGGGGTGTGAGCCCTGCACAGGAGACTGGGCATTGGTGGGGGACAGAGGGGCCACCTGCCTGGAAGTCGGGCCACGCTCTGAGCCAAGGCAAAGGCAGACCAGCCTGGCCCCACCCCTGACTTGAGAGGTCAAGGGCCCTGGAGGTCCACTGCAAGCGCCCATCCCCCAGGTCACTGCACCAGTGGTGGGGCTTCCTCCTTCCTGAGCGTCCACCATGCCTGACCAGGGCTCTGGTTCCAACTGTCCAGGAACTCGGGATGTCCCTCAGCCCCCCTCCACCCAGCCAAGTCACTTAGGCCCAGACTCCTGGGAACTCGGGCTTAGCAGGAGACAAAGCTAAGCATGGGGGTTCTTCTGTATGTGGCCCAGGAGGGTGGCCTCTGCCTGGGGGTCCTGAGAGGGGCGACGGGATGTAAGTGGGGAGCAGGCATTGCCACCTGCATGGACAAGAGCCCTCTGGCTGCTGAGGGGAGAGCAGACTGCAGGAGCCGAGGGGGCCAGAGGAGGATGGGAGGGGGCGGGGCCAGCCTGTGGCCCAGGTCTCCGTGGCTCCAGGGCAGCCCCAATCCTGCCCCCTGCCCCACTGGAAATGCCCTAGAGCCTGGGGAGCATCTCTTAGACCTGTGTCCTCTACCTCCTCCAACCCCTGAGGAGGTTTTCAGCCAAGTCTGGGTCCCCTTCCCCAGCAAAGGTCCCCTCTAGCAGATCACAGCCCAAAGGGTGATGGTCGCCCTGGGGGGCCTGTGTCTGGACTGGGGCTCCACCCACTGCCAGCCCGGTGACCTGGGAGCAGGTCTCAGCCACTGCCAGAGCCTCCGTGCCGCGCTGGGTGGGTCCCAGGGACAGGCCCGAGAGCAGAGGGGCTGGACCCGGCTCCAGTGGGAGTGCATACTGCTTTTGGGGTCCAGGTGGACTGCCCCTGAAGGCAGGACATTGGCCTGCTGCCATGCACTGGCTCTCCAGGACTGGGCAGCCTGGAAGGTCCTGCCCAGTAAGCCCTGAGCATTTGGGGTCTGCGGCTCCCTCTCCTTCCTCCTGCCGCAGTGGGGGGGGGGGACTGGAGGAGGGTGAGCCCCCAGACAAGGTTGGCATTGGGTAGGCTGAACCAGCACCCCCATTCCTCTCTTTCCAGCTGCCACCCAGGGGACAGCAGACTGAGGCCAGGAGCCTCATCAAGGACGAGCGAGTGCCCTGGCTGAATGCTGGGGTGCAGCGGAGGCCAGCTCATATCTGGGTCCCCAGGCCTCTGGCAGCAAAAGCCAGGCCTCAGAATTTGGAGGTGGCTCACCTGAACCCAGGCTGTGGGGCCAGCCTCCTTCCGGCTCCCCAGAGGCGCAGCTCCCTGGGGGCCCTCAGGCTGGGCCCAGGGCTTTGGGTCAGATGAAGGACTTTCAGCCCCTTCCTGAACCCCCTTGGTGAAGGCCTACAGAATGGCTAGGTGGGCTGCCCTCTCTCCCAGATGGCCTGGCCTCTGACCTGCCCTGTCTCAGCTTGGTGCAGCCTCCCTCTGGACCGCCTGTGGTCGTGGCCACCATCCCTGGCCCGAGGACAAGGGCCTGGCCGCTGCCTGATGGCTGCCAGAGCTTTCCCAGGGCCCTGGAGAGCAGAGTGTGACCCCACACCATCTGCAGCTCAGCACCACTTCCAGCTCCTGCCCAGAGCACTCCCATACTGACCGCAGTCCCCACGCTGGGTGGCCCCTACTGCCCAGGCTGGGTGTCCATCTGACCCCCTGCACCAGCCCTCCCAGAGATCAGGTCACCTTCCACTCTCCGGCCCCCCAGCCCGGCCCGTCCAGGGAAGGCTGGCCATTTCCTGGGGCCTCAAGCGCCCCCTGCCGGGATGTGCCATTCTCCCAAGTATCACACTCTCTGAGGGCCACCCAGAGGGACCCTTGGCCCGGCAGTGGGATTTCCACACCCCAGGTCGGGGGTCACCCGGAAGTTGGGCTGTCAGATGTGCCCCACAGAACTCTCATGCTGGCTCCCAAGGACCACCAGGCCGCCCCTCCTGAGCTGCTACCATCGGAGGCTGGACATCCTCTGTGCCTGACCAGCGCGTGCTCATGGAGGGCGCCCCAGGCCTGGCCCCAGACAGTTGGCTGTGCTGCAAACGCACTCCTACCCCCAGGGCCTGGCTCCGCTGTCCCTCCTTCTCCTTCCCTTTATGGTAGCTGCTGTCCCCGGCAAGCTGGCGGGGGCAAGCCGGTGCACCCCACACTCAGTAAACACTTGTCCACCTAGCTCGCCTTTTCCCTTGAGGACACAGATGGGGTCTGAGGGGCAAGGTAGCCCCTTGGCACAAGTGGGCTGGCGGGGAGGATTACGGAGCCTAGGTGTACCTGTTCGTATGGGGCCTCCAGGTAGGAGGTGGGATTGCCTCCAGAGGCAAGGGTGATCCACAGACTGCAGGTGGAGCCTGCTCACCCCCACCACGTGCGAGCCCCCAGGCTGTCCCTGAGGACACCCCATAGGCTGGAGATGCCAATACCCAGACGGCCTGCCCCCAGGCCATGTGTGGGAGGGAGGGTGGTGTTCAACCTGTCCACCCCTGCTGGTGCTCAGCCCCACGAAGGGGGGGGTGGAGCAGGGGCGCCCTTTCCCGAAGGCCCCCTCTAGCGTCCCCATAAAGTGGCCGGGTCAAGCCAGGAACTGAGAGAGGGATGGGACGCTGGGGGAGTGGGGGTCAGGGAGGCCTCACCCTCGGGTCCCAGACTCCCCACTCCTGCCCTGGGTCAGGGTTTAGGGGCTGGCAGCCTGTGGCTCTGCGCTCACCATGTTTCCTCCTTGCCTGGGATTTGGGGCCATGGGGTCCTCTGGAGGCCCTTGTCTGCCCGTGGTGCTCCCTCCCCATCAAGGCCCAGGTGGGGTGAGGGACCAGAGTCCGGCTATGGTGGGGCTGCCCCTGCCAGGAGTTCCTGCACCCCTCACTTGGACCATCCAGGAGCCCTGTGGCCATGCAGAGAAACCCTGGCTCTGGCCCAGGGCTACCCCCGGAAACCCTGGCCTGCCTGGAGGTGGCACAGGGAGGGGTTGCAGGAGCTGAGCAGGTGTAGGCTCCCTCAAGACTTGCTGCTGTCCTGGCCTTCCACAGATGGGGGAAACTGAGGCCCAAACAAAGGCCATGACTGTGTTCCTCTCAAGGAGGTTCAGGGCCATAGGGAATGAGGTGAGGAGGGGCATGCTTGGGTCCCAGCTTCCCAGCTATCCACGTGTGTGCTGCCACCAAGTGGCGGTGGTGCTCAGTGATCCAACCTCCACACCAAGACCTTAGACCACACCCAGCGCCCCCGTGGCCCAGCAGGCCTGCCTTGGCCAGGAACACCGACCCCTACCCTAGCCAGAAATCCCATCCCCACCTCAGGCCACTCCTGCCCAGGAGTAAAATGCTGATGAACTCAGGCCCCAGGTTGGGGAGGACGAAAGGTAGGTGTCTAGGTCACCCATGCCCGGGCTCACAGTTGGACTGCAGGCGGCCTTTGGGACATGTGTGTGCCTCATTCATTCATTCACCCCTTCTCAAGCAGGTGCTGAGTACCCACTGGGTGCCCCACTGTCCAAGCACCAGGAACTAAGATCACCGCCCCTGCAGCTGGGGACCAAGGGGTCTGCCCTGGATTGAGGGGCTGATTGGGTCAGAATTCTCAGCCCTAAAGCCCGGCAAATGGGGACCGTTGGTCACCCTACCTGGAGTGATGTTTGCACGGGGGAGACAGACCACAAACAGGCTGACGACATGAATTAAATGGGGTGCCCAGTGTCAGTGTGAGGCTGTGGGGAGAAGGCTGGGAAAGCAAAGTCTGGGTGGGGTGTGCCAGGTGGACTAGGGTGGTCCTGGTGCCATGTGAGCAGAGCCTGCAGGGGCGAAGGGTCAGGAGCTGCCGGGTTCTAGCAGGATCTGACCAGTGAGAGGCGGGGTGTGGCAGGCAGGTGGGGCCATGGGATGTCCTGACGTGGGTTCCGTGCGTACGAGGGAAACAGACCGACATTTTGGCCTCAGTGACTGGAGGGCAGAGCTCCATGGGCTGAAGAGGGGACACGGCAGCTGGGGTTGGAGGTTGGGCATGTAAGTGTGAGCTGCCTCTTGGACATTGATTCATTCACCAGTGCTTATGCAGTGCCGCTGTGTGCCCACTCCCTCAGTGGCCCACACGGGCACAGACCCCTGCCTGAGGTGGAGGATCAACACGTAAATGCAAAACAAGGAGTAGATCCTCCAGGACGTGAAAAGGGCACTCAGAAAGAAAAAGCAGAGCAGGGTAAGGAAAGGAGCTGGTCCTGGGTCTCATGCAAGGACAAAAGGAGACGAGGGAGTCAGTGGACACCCCTGGGACCAGCAATTAGAAACAGTCTCCGGCTGATCCAGTGAGTCCTCTCCACAAAGGCTGAGAAGAATTAAACAGTTTTTCTATTGAATAAGCATTTAGAGATTGCAAGGCAGAGACCTCAGCCCTTCATATGAACCAGGCAGGTACAACCCTTCCATACAAGATCTTGAGAAATGATAACTTGTCCAAAGTGCACCTGACATATAGTCTATTTCATGTGATAATAATAGAAGCACCCCAGCTCTCTTTGGTTACAATTTGCATGGAATATCTGATTCCATCCTTTCACTTTCTTTGTGTCTTTGTACCTAAAGTGAGTCTCTTGGGGGACGCCTGGGTGGCTCAGTTGGTTGGGCGTCTGCCTTTGGCTCAGGTCATGGTCCTGGGGTCCCCCTGCTTGTGCTCGCTCCCTCTCTCTGTCAAATAAATAAAATCTTTAAAAAAATAAAGTGAGCCTCTTGTACACAGCATGCAGTAGGTGGATCACGTTTTTTTATGCACTCTGCCAAACCCTGCCCTTTAATTGGAGAGTTTAGTCCATTTACATTTGAAGAAATTACTGAAAAGAAAGGATTTACTTCTACCCGGTAGTCATTTGTTTTCTGTGTGTCTTATATGGTTTTCCTTCCCAAGTCCTCCACTGCCTTTTGTGGTATTGATTTTTGTATGGTACCATTTTTTATTTCCTTCTTCTTTCCTCTTCTGTATACTTATCCAGTATTTTCTTAGTAGTTTCTTTGAAAGTTACAATTAAAATCTTAAAATTATAACACTCTGGTTTGAAGAATTTCAGTTGCGTCTCAACAGTATACAAACATTCAGCTCCTGTACATCTTCATCCTTCTCACAGTGTTGTCACGGGGACATCTTTATGCATTGTGTGCCCACTGGCAGATTTATAATTATTGTTCCATATATTTGCCTTTTAAATCACATAGGAAAAAAAAAGAGGAGTTACAAACCCAAACTGCAGTAATGGCAGCTTGTACATTTTTCTGTATAGTGACTTTTGCAATGTTCTGTGTCTCTTCATGAGGCCTTGAGTTACTGTCTGGCGTCCTTTCATTTCAGCCCAGAAGGACTCTCTTTAACACTTTTTAAAATTATTTTTTTATTTGACAGCGTGAGAGCACGTGCAAGCAGGGGGAGGGGCAGGCAGAGGCAGAGGGAGAAGCAGACTCCCGGCTGAGCAGGGAGCCCGACGTGGGGCTCGATCCCAGGACCCTGGGATCATGACCTGAGCCAGAGGCAGACGCTTAACTGCTTAACCCACTGAGCCACCCAAGCGCCCCTCTCTTTAGCATTTTTTGTACGACTACTAGTGATGTACTCCCTCAGATCTTATTTATCAGGAAATATCTTACTTTCCCCTTTGTTTTTTGGAAGATAGTTTTACGGGATAGAGAATTCTTGGTTGACAGGGTTTTTTGTTTTTTGTTTTTCTAAATCTTTCAGGACTTTAAGTATGTCATCCCACCGCCTTCTGGTCTGCAAGGCTCCTCATGGGATTGATGCTTAAAATCTTACTGAGGATCTCTTGTATGTGACAAGCCATGTTTCTTGCTGCTTTCAAGATTCCCTCTGACCTTGGCCTTTCACAACTTGATTATAACGTGCCCTAGCATGGCCCTCTTTGAGTTTATCCTGCTTGGAGTTTGTTGAGACTCTTGGATATACAGATTCATGTCGTTCATCAGATTTGGGGCATTTGGGGTGATTATTCATTCAGATATATGCATGCCCCTTTCCCTCTCTTCTGCTTCTAGGATCCCCATGATGTGTATGTCAGCACACCTGATGGCACGCCAGTGGGTCTCCTCATTCTTTTTATTTCTACTTCTCGAATTGGGTGGTTGCAATGGCTTCATCTTCCAGTTTGCTGATCCTTTCTTCTGCATGCTCAAATCTGTTGTGAATACTAGTGAATTCTTCATTTCAGCCATTGTACTTTTCAGCTTCAGATTTTCTATTTGGTTCCTTTTTACAGTTCTTGTCTCTTTATTGGCATTCTCTCTTTGTTCATATATTG